CCAATGATTCAGTGCTCATGTACACAGGTTCACAAATAGATTCAAGAGAAAGTCAGTGATTCAGAAAGCCATCAACAAATTGACAATCTTTGTAAGAAACACGGTATGTGATCCTATGAACAAACAATGGCTCAGGATAGAAAATTTGCTAGGTATAAAATTAATCTTGGGTTCTGACTCATGACCAAATCAGTATGCAGGGACAGACTGTTCATTTTCTCCTCTGCTCCTCTGAATGCATTTCTGCTTAACAGAAAAAGATTTATTATGAAGGATGGCAGGCAAGAAGCATTTCCAAGAATTACCACTGTCAAGAAGAAAGCTTTTGCACCAGTATCTATAAAGTAAAATGAAAAATATCATGAACAGAGCTATGAAGCACAAAAGAGGGGGGTTGGCAAATCACCAACTATTACAATGGGAATAAAAATATATTTTGAAAGAGCATATGAAAAACAAAAGATACAAAAGATTGATTTCATAATTTTCACAAGATCATTTTTATGGAAACACAACAAGCGTACAATGGGGCCTTGACAGCCTACCTGGACAGCCTTGACAGTCCTATTCTATATAATGGCATAGTGAAAGTGTGTCTCTTTTTATACTAAGTGGCAAAATCAAAGTTTGACCTTTTTAGAATTTTGGAGGGTATTATTTTCAAGCTATGGATAGTGGAATCTATGGATGCAGAATCAGAGGCTACAGATCCAACTGTCCTATCACTTTTTATTTATTGTGTCAGGAGCGACTTGAGAAACTGCAAGTTGCTTCCGGTCTGAGAGAATTGGCCACCTGCAAGGACGTTGCCCAGGGGGTGCCTGGATGTTTTACTATCCTTTGCAAGTCTTCTCTCATGTCCCCGCATGGGAAGCTGAGGCTGACAGACAGGGGCTCACTCAGTTGTGTGGATTTGAACTGCCGACTTTGAGGTCAGCAGTTCAGCCAGCACAAGGGTTTAACCCATTGCGCCACTGTGGCTAACACTGTAAATGCCCAAGAGAGATAGTCATTTTTTCAGCAAAATAATGTAGTATAGCAAATGAATAGGTCTCCAACCAAGAAACTGGATCACACACAATGCTAAATCATAGCTGTATTTATTATTAATTGCAGGTATATCTCACTCATTCTCCTGTTTGCTAGGACAGCTTTCCTCAAGCTCCAACCAGACTGCCTTTGCAAAAAAAAAAGAAAGAAAGAAAGAAAAAAAAGAGGCCTGCATTGTGTCTCCAGCAGGAGAAATGTATGCTATTGTAGCCTTTCAAAACTTTAATTCTCAAATGTAGGCCATCTAGGCATTTTGTAGTTCAACTTCCAGGATTCCTAGCTATTGGCAGAGGCGGCCCTAGGTAATTTTCAATGGTAAGCAAACAATATTTTCTTAGTACAACACTCAAACAACTTCATTATTAGGTTCTTGTGGGTTTTTTTCGGGCTATAGAGCCATGTTCTAGAGGCATTTCTCCTGACGTTTCGCCTGCATCTATGGCAAGCATCCTCAGAGACCTCACTACCTCTGAGGACGCTTGCCATAGATGCAGGCGAAACGAAAAAACCCACAAGAAACTAGTGATTCCAGCCATGAAAGCCTTCGACAATTGATATATATTTTCTGTTCATCGTGGGAGTTCTGTGTGCCATATTTGGTTCAATTCCATCATTGGTGGAGTTCAGAATGCTCTTTGATTGTAGGTGAACTATACATCCCAGTAACTACAACTCGCATATGTCAAGGTCTATTTTCCCCCAAGAGCGCCTCAAGAGCACCCCTGGGCAAAATCAAATATACTGCAAATGCTTACTTTGCATAATGGGTTGAGCCGCCCCTGGCTATTGGCCACGCTGGCTGTGACTTACAGGAATTAAGGTCCAAAATATTGGCAGAACCAATGTTTGAAGCCACTGTTTTCAGACCATCTCTTCTAAAGAGGCAGAAAGGAAACCATCATGCCATCAGGCTGTTATTTGTAATTTCACTGCTTGCCATTGCAGTAGTTATTCTCTATGCCTTTTAGATTGCTGTTTGCTTCTACTTCATTTTGATAACGCAATATTAAAAAAACACAATTAAATCTTTTTTAAAAAAAACACAGAACAAAAACTCCCCACTGTTATATCTGCTAAAAAGCTGTTTTAAAAAACATGCCTATCTATTATTCTCTAGTGCTTTATAATTTGTTTCTGTAATTGTCTGTTTCAATAGAATAGATAAGATACTTTAAATTAGCAACAGGTAAAATGGATTAGCTGCACCTGCTTTTTGTGATATATGTGAGGGAATGTGTTTCTTCTGCTTCTGCCTTAGGATTTTGGGTTAATGGTAATTTGTCCAAAACAGACTAGGTAAAGTCAATTGGTATTCATCTTTTACAGCCCATTCTTAATCTTCCTGAAGTTATATATTTTTAAAGATTTATTTCCTCTACTTTATTTTTGAATATATTTCAGTTTCAAGATTTCAAGACTTTTTCTAAAGCTGTAGCCTTCATAACATCTTGCTTCCACACTCTCAACACATATAATTTTAAATCCAATTTAAAATAAAGGCTCTGTAATGACTACTGCAGAACCCAAAATTATACTGGCATTTGCATTTTTCTGAGAACCTAAAATATTCTTTTGTACTGCTGTGTGGTGCGATAAGGCCTCCTACCAGTGTTTTCATTATAGGTTCTCTGCTTATAATAAGTTTGAAAGTATTTTCATCCTATATATACCTTTTGCCTGAGAATAGCAAGTTATACTATTACTCAAGCCAGAAGAGACTTTCTAGAAGGAAACCCACAAGGAATTTCAGCTTGGAAGCAAGATATCTAAAGGACCATTCAGTGGCTGAGGTCATTCCCAGAAGGCTGGTAGCCAAAACACCATGGGGTAGCCCCTCCTCTGCATATATGAACTGCATCATTTCTATAAGTATAAAGTAGTTATCAGGGGTTTTTTTTGTCATGTCAGGAGCGACTTGAGAAACTGCAAGTTGCTTCTGGTCTGAGAGAATTGGTGGTCTGCAAGGATGTTGCCCAGGGGACGCCCAGATGTTTTTGATGTTTTATCATCCTTGTGGGAGGCTTCTCTCATGTCCCCGCATGAGGAGCTGGAGCTGATAGAGGGAGCTCATCCGCCTCTCCCTGGATTCGAACCTGCGACCTTTCGGTCTTCAGTCCTGCCGGCACAGGGGTTTAACCCACTGCGCCACCGGGCTATTATCAGGTGGATCTATTTTAGTTGGGACTAATACCTGGATAAAGATCCAGTGTGGTATAATGGTTTCAGTACTGAACAAGAACTCTAGGGGCCCTTCCACATGGCCATATAACCCAGAATATTAAGGCTGAAAATCCCACAATATCTGCTTTGAACTGGGTCATCTGAGTCCACACAGCCATATATTCCATTTCAAAGCAGAAAATGTGGAATTTTATTCTGCTATGTGGAAGGGGCCTTTTAGACTGGGTTCAAATCTCCGGTCAGTAAGTAAGTCACAGTGAGACTCAGGCACTGGCACATCCTCTCTGAACAAATCTTATTAAGAAAATGCTGTAGGATCACTATACATTGGAAACCACTTGAAGGCACAAAAAGAAGAACAATTGGATTGGGTCTAAACCTGAAGAAAACAGGAAAAGTATCTGTCAAGTAAACCATGCTGCAAACAAAGGACACAACTTCAAGAGAGGTGATAGGCTAAACACAAAGCAAAGAGACATTTATTTTAAAAAGATACTCTTGTATGCACCCAAGAATAGCTCCCTAGAAGAACATGAGTCAGAGTTCACCAAAATATCACATTACACCAAGCATGCTGTGACAAGAGAGAGGAGACGGAGAAAATGTCCACTCCATGCGTGCCTCTCACTAAGTGGCATTTTCTCAGAAGCCTGGAGCATAATACCCTAATTATAGATTTTAGTAGCAGCACAGCCCCATAAAGGCCTCTGCCTAGGTACAGAACAGGAGCACCAACTTTATAAGACTCTCAGACCAGCCATTGTCAAGTCCTATAATAATGACAGTTGATGAGCATAGTCTACGCTGTTGTGCAGAACAATACCTACTGCTCCTTGTTGCAAGGCATGCAGCTGCATGGAGCTCAGTTTAGCCTAGACAAGATCTAGCTGTGCTTTGCAAGTACATTCCTTGTCTCATTCAGTTGTGTGCGCAAACACAATTAACACATCTGTGCTGACACAAATCCTATGACATTATATATAGCATCACTAGTGTGTGTGTGTGTGTGTGTGTAATTTTATTTTTGTACCCCACCTCTCTCTGTAACTTGAGGTGGGGTATAGTATCATTAAACCAAGAGATAAAACACTATTAAAATACATACAGCAAGATATACAGAGTTAAAATACAAGTTAAAATCCACTAATAAAAGGCAGATTCAAATTCACAACTTAAATGTGACTGTATATTTGCAGCATATTTTATGATTGAGACCCTCTTGCTTTTTGCTGGATCTGCATAACACATTCTCTCCCATATTGCAAAGAGATATTGATCAAACTTCTTATTAACACCAAGGACTATGCCCACAGTATACATTTATAGCACTTGGATACCATTTTAACTGGCATGGCTGTATCCTAGATAATTCTGGGATGTATAGTTTGATTAGAAGCTGTATTTCTCTGCTAAAGAGCATTTTATGTGCACATTTCCCTAAAACACAGAGTTAGGGTCCTCTAGCAGCCACAGCCGCTAAAGTCAAACTGATGTAACCGATTAGTATAGATATATCCTGGGAAACAAAGTGTGGTTTAAAAAACAGAGAAGCCAAGCTAAACTGACCTGCTTACATTCCTCTTTAGGGATCATATCTGTAAATAGTCATTAATCCCATACTGCTACTGGATGCACAAGATGCTCACAAAGTGAATAGCTTCCTGGAACCAAAGTACCTGATGGATAATTGTTCAGTCTCTAATATTCTCTTGATATATCAATACAGAAACATTGTAGAATATTATATACAGGTTTGAAACAAACCTTACCAAATGAGGGAGACTCCCTGCCGTCTTCTAGTTCTGAATCTCGTTCTCTGTCTCTCTTTCGGTGTTTGTGTCCACGGTGTCTGTGACGTCGATGGCTTTTCCTCCCTCCCAATGGCACATGAACACCAATAAACAAAGTCCTGTGGCCTAGGGAGCAAAGAGAAGGTAAAATGAAATATATATCTGAAAATCACACTTGGATATTACTACTGGAGTAAAACCAAAGTATTATTTCTGTATGGATGTAAGTCCTTTAAAAAAATAGTAGAGAATTGACACTTGGAATTAGATTCTGAAAGAGAATGAAAACTACCCTAAGCAGGCCCGTAGCCAGGATTTCGTTTGGGGGGGGGGGGGGGAAAAAATTTTCAGGGGATTTTTTTCAGGGGGGGTTTCGGGGGGGCTGAGTCTGAGTGAAAGAGGGTCTAGCCTAGCAAACCTTTTGTATCATTACCCCAATACCCCCATGCATATGGGATATATTGAGTATGGTGATCAGATCATGATATGAATAAACATAACAGTTTAAATAATGCACCAGTAAGGCCTTTTTCGCGAACCACCATGAGAATTTCGGGGGGGGGGGGCTGAAGCCCCCGGCTACATGCCTGACCCTAAGTTAAATGTTTTAGGGCAGGGTAGGGAAATGTTGACTCACCCGATGATTTGAGCTAGAACTTCCCTTATTGTTGCTCATATTAGGTGGGCTTGAGTAGCTAAACTCCAAAAACCTATGAGCCAAAGGTTCCCCACATCAGTCTAGGGCAGTGATTCTCAACCTGTAGGTCCCCAGATGTTTTGACCTACATCTTCCAGAAATCCCAGCCAGTTTACTAGCTGTTAGATTTCTGGAAATTGAAGGCCAATACATTTGGGGATCCAAAGATTGAGAACCATTGGTCTAGGGTAACTTGAATACCCACAGGAGTAATGAAGCATGTAAAACAATGCAGTTAGGAGTTTCCAATGCTGCTTTCATTGTTTCTCAATGATATACAACAAGTAAGGTGTAGGATGCTCTCCTGATGTTGGATGTTGATGTTTATACTAGGGGTCATATTTCAAAAGGTGGAGAAGCATCGCTCACCACAGGAGAAGGGACACCCTCTACAGGACACCTTTTGTTAATGCCCTTGACATTCCCTGACATGGGACAAGTTCCTGCCTGGACCATTAAGGACCCTTCAACACAGTCCCTATATCCCAGGAACTGATCCCAGAATATCTGCCAGTCTGCTGCCAAGCACAATTCAAAGTGCTGGCTTTAGCCTATAAACAGTTCCGGCTCAGCTTACCTGTCCAAATGTATCTCCCTCTATGAGCCAGCTACGAGGTTAAGATAATCTGTGGAAGCCCTGCTCTCCACCCCTTTCGCAAGTGCAATTGGTGGATATGAGAAACAGGGCCTTCTCAGTGGTGGCCCCTCAGCTATGGAACTCCCTCCCTAATGAAGTCAGATCAGCCTCCTCCTGGCTTTCAGAAAAAGGCTAAAGATGTGGATGTGGGATCAAGCATTCAGTTAGTAACCCACCAAAGAATTATGGAAGAGTGCAACGACAATTTTGGAATGACCATGGATTATGATTTTGGATAACATGATTTTAACAGGTGTTTTTAAAGTTTGATATGTTTTAGTGATTGTTTTAATGTATATGTTTATTTTATTATACAGGTATGTTTTACATGGCATCGAATTGTTGCCTATATATGTAAGTCTCCTTGAGTCCCGTGGGGTATAAATAAGGTAAATAAATATCTGCTTATCCCAGATTTTCTGGCAGTGCGGCCTCATATAACCCATTTCAAACCAGATAACCTGGAATCAGATCCTGGGATATAAGAACTGTGTGGAAGGGGCCTAAAATGTATCCTAATCAGCATAGGCAAGTATGTTACAGGGTAAAACAAGGTAACTAGTTCACATGAGTGTTTATTGGACACAACTGAATAAGTAGTTTATGTCAGCAATACAACTAGTGTTATGACAAAAGTAATATTTTGTAAAAGGCATCTTTCATTTAAGGATTAACTAACAAATTGACTTGGCCAATTGCAATCCCAGCTTTATTTTCTTAGAATATTTATTTTTATCCTGCCTTTCTCCCAATATAAGGGCATAGCCACAATGAATTGAGGATATATTATTGCTCTGCTAGAATCAGACATATCAGCATCACCCATTCACTACACATACAGAAACACGAATGGGAGGAATAGGAGAGAGAAGAAAGGTCAAGCACATTAAGCTGAAGCCTCATGTGACCTCTAATCCCACAGAGACTCTGGTAACAGTTGGAAACAGCAAGGCATCATTTGTCACAAAACATCAAAGAAATTTGGGGCTGACAGGATTTCTCTCTAAAAACAGAAATAAACAAGCGCCTGGCAGGCTATTAAAGCCCTGGTTTCTTTTCTCTTCCTCTTAACCATTACTCCCTGCTCCTCGTAGTATTGCACCAAATGATGAATTTGAAGAAAAAAAAATAGTTTATGTTTTAAGTTTTAAGAATGCCCTTGCATTGTCATAAGAGGTTTGAAACCAGATTCAGATGTTGCCCCTGAACAGGAAATACAATAGCAAGTACACCAAGATGTGGTTACTCCAGTTGGCTCAATCCCATTCCTTCCCCATCCTTAGTAAAGGTAAAGGTTTCCCTTGGCATTAAGTCATGGAGGTGCATGGAGCAGCGTTACCTTCCTGCAGGAGTGATACCTATTGATCTACTCAGAACTGCATGTTTTCAAACTGCTAGGCTGGTAAAAGCTGGGTTAACAGCAGGAGCTCATCTTACTCCCCAGATTCAAACCACCAACCTTTCAGCCAGCAAGTTCAGCAGCTCAGCGGTTTAACCTGCTGCACCACCAGGGGACCCTTCCTTACTGGTGTTGATACTCTGTTGTGGTTTGCCTGAATGAGAGGAGAACCTCCAATCCAAAGGCAATTATTCATTTTCCTGAGGATTCCACCCAAATCCAAGCAAAAGTAGAAACCACCAACATAATTTCTAGCTTAAAATATGGAGAAGGAGATAACTATTAAGGGAACAGCTTTTTAAAACACACTGTACTGGATTAAATAATAGTTGCTATTACTTGTGCTAATAAAATACATTTACAGGTGGGCGGGCAGCTTTATTCTCCAACTGCTTCCAGAATCAGAGATGTATTTTTATTTAATAATTGATTTTGTGCCTTATCAATCAGGACTTGCTTTTTAGAAATTTGCATTACAGAACCAGAGGTGGAAGAAGTTTTACATAGGCTGCTTTTAGATAGGTAAAGGTAAAGGTTTTCCCTGACATTAAGTCTAGTTGTGTCCGAATCTGAGGGCTGGTGCTCATCTCCATTTCTAAGCCGAAGAACCGGCATTGTCCGTTGATGCCTCCAAGGTCATGTGGCTGGTATGACTGCATGGCGCACTGTTATCTTACTGCAGAAGTGGTACCTATTGATCTAGTCACATTTACATGTTTTCAAATTGCTAAGTTGGCAGAAGCCAGCGCTAACAGCAGGATCTCACCCCTCTTCCTGGATTCAAACCGCCAACTTTTTGGTCAGCAAGTTCAGCAGCTCAGCAGTTTAACCTGCTGTGCCACTAGGAGGCCCTCAGCTTTTAGATAAGAGATCATTATTCGTTTGAGGTCAGCTACTCAACTTGAAGGCTGAAAAGGAATCTGAACTGCGGTACATCGAACCTTTATACAATCTATTGTTTTCTCCTTTTATTCTGCTACATGAAAACAGCACAAAGGAAATGAAAATAGTAATATTAGGATTAAAACTGACTGTAGTCAAGGCAGAATGGCTTTAACAAGATCACACTTAGCGGAATTCTAAATAAAAATATGTGACCTGAAAAAAGCCAAAGGACTCTAAAACTAGGCAACCACTTGCTGAAGAAGAATGAAGAAAGCAGGGAAGGCAGAACATCTGTGAACAACTATTCAAACTCTGGATCACTGAATGGTAATTACAGCTCAGAAACCAATAATTTGAGATAAAACAGGGGAAATTAGAGGATTGTAACATGTGATCACTACTCATGAAAAGATAAAATAAGAGCTGAAGAACAGCCAAGGAGAATGAGGCATCATTTGCAGTAAGGTAATAAACCTTGTCTAGGTCATTTTCATACTACAGCTAGCTGCTCATATGAACAAGTGCACAAGCATTTTAATAAGAAATCATCAAACTACATACAATAAGAAAGAAATCATCAAACTACATTGAAAACTGGATGTCTCCCTAACATAGCTTTCTATGGGCAGGATTGTTTTTAATGGTCATATTTTAAATCATGTGAATGCTTGACTATAGTCTCAGGCAGAAGTTTACCGTCTTAATGTGAACTATTCCAAAGATAATGTAGCTTTTGTATTATCAATTTACTTGAGCAAACTGTTGTAAGTAGGAGACTGTGTTATCTGCAGAACCACTTTCAGAGAGACTATGGGATGATCCTTCACAATCCCATTACATTGTAGCATGCTACAGGATTCCAGCCTATTGAATTTTGGAATTTGGGGGCTCTGTTGCACCTTCTTGATCACACTCAGTGCTATTTCTCGTTGTTCAGTTTGAGTAGTTGTACATGTGCAAGTGGATGTAAGGAATTTCATCGGTACTTTTTTCTTGATTTTGAAAACTGTTTTAATAATATTTCCAGAGGCATTTGAATAAGACTGTTTCAAGTTTTTTTTAATTCCATTCCCTTTAATCACTTTGTGAGGTTTTTTTTAATCAATGGAAAACAGTAATAATAAACCTAACATTTAAAAATAATTAAAAACAACAAAATGCTTTTTTAAATGATATTACTTAAATCAACTTGTACCTCTTGAGTCAAGCTGAATTTTATTTGAGGACCACTGAGTCCATTGGAACAAACAATTGGCTACTAAAGATATCAGGAAACAAATTGCTTTTAAGAAGAAGCTTCACAAGCTTCTGAAAGCACATTTCATTCTGTTGTCATCTACCAGGTTTGCACTCAAGAACCACACAATGAAGATACAAAAATCTTATAATGTATTAAGTAAGTTTACAATTTTGTGTTGGGCCACATTCATAGGCGTCCTGGAAAACCCTAGGACAGGAGTTGATTTGAAGGTACAGGATTACACTTGTTAAGCAGAAAGGCACATTGTCCAATGAGTTTGATTTAAACTTTGAAAACAAAGTTTAAATCAAAGCTGCAATGGAAAATAAAAAATGAAAGCTATGTGCATTGAAGGAGATAATTTGACACATATATCTAAATGTAAATTAGCAGCCAATGCAGTAGCAGTAGATCTATGTTGGCATAACAAATTTTCTGTAAATGAGTGATAGTACTTAAGATTCACTGAGCTCATGATTAAAGATAACGTTGAAATTTAGGTTCCATTAATAAAATAATACTGACTTTATGTAAAGGGTTAGCCAAAAACAAAATAAATTTTGATCCCGTAATTATTATACTACTGTGTAAGTACAATCTGCATTTGCCATGTGTTTTCATATACAGACTGCTGTTGGTTTACCAAGAACAATTTTAGATACATGCATAGATTAACAACAGTTACTTTTTGGCAACTACAGGTACTCAGATTCCACATCCTTTCATGTTTCTCCTCAGAGTCGGGCCACCAATAAAACAACTTATGCATAAGCTTGCTTGGTTTCCTAACACATTATTAGTGCATTCTATCTCTCTGTTCTCTCTGATGTTTCATTTCATGGTTACTTCTCTTTATAGCAGCAAAAATACACAATTTCCTTTAAAAATGGTCTCCCAGATGTGTTCACTACAAATTAAAGTACTGATTTGCTGAACTAGCTGACCAAAACGTTGGCAGCTCAAATCCATGGGGTGGGCTTCCTCTGTTAGCCCCAGCTTCTGCCAATCTAGCAGTTTGAAAACATGCAAATGCGAGTAGATTAAATGGTACTACCTCGGCAAGAAGCTAAACAGCACAATATGCAGTCATACCGGCCACATGACCTAGGAGGTGTCTATGGACAATGCAGGCTCTTCAACTTAGAAATGGAAATGAGCACAACCTCCCTGAGCCGGAGAAGAGCACCACACCTCAGAGCTGGAAGGGGAAGCCTTTAGCTTTTTCTGTGTTTTGTTGTTTCTAGGCATTGAATGTTTGCCTTTGTGTTTGTGTATGCTGGAATCCACCCTGAGTCCCCTTGGGGAGGTAGGAAGGAATAAAATATATTATTATTATTATTATTATTATTCACCCTTTGCTGCTATGTCAGCAAAGTATGACAAATGACAGTGGTAACACCACTAATTTATTTATAGTAAATAAATAAATACATACATACATAATTTAATTGGGAATTTAGATCTCTTTTTTTACTGAAAAACAGGAGGAGAAGGAAAAGGAGGGGATGACCAGCAGCAATCCATATACTAATATATGAATAATATTCCAGTATTATTAATTCTATCTCACTAGCACTTCATTACATTTCATCATACCTATTTTTCAATTCAAAGACATCCAAGTACAACAAATGGCAATTTGCATGCTGCTGTGCTGGAGCATTCCACTTCTGTGCTTGAGAAGTGATGAGCGGTCTCCATTCAAAATACAATGCATCATTTTCCATGAAGAGAAGGTCATTTGTGAATGTGTTTGAATGTGACAAAAAGCTTTCAAACCAATTGCTGCTAACAGATCTTGACTTTTCAAAGAGTGGCATGTTGTTCTAATTCCATAGCAATGTTTTGCCAATGAATCAAACCATATTCATACATTATAGGTTACACAATATAAAGGGTTATAAAACAGATTGACCACGGTATCACCAATATTAGATATGCTCTGTACACACCATCTCCATACACATGAAAAGTCCAAAGGCCACCACTTGGCAATGTCCAGCAATGGGAAGCATTGACTCCAACTTCCTTTTGGAAAGTGTGAGAATTGGATGAGGTGGGAACTGACTCTTTTGGCTTGTTTTGACAACTACATAGTTATTCATATATAGGCAGATAATGAAGGAAAAGCTATATACTCAATTAGACAGTGCAGTCTTTAAAATAAAGAAAACAGATGCTATCTAAAGCCTACTGAAATGGTGGCAAAACTCATACTCGATTTTCTCTTTTGAGCTCCTGTTTTATCTAATGCCCATTTGGACCTATCAGGTAAATCTTAGATCATTCAAAAACATCATTTAAGCAATTTAAAAATTAGCAACTGACCATTGCCTGCAAATATTAGCAAGTGATGCATGCAATACAAAATATGCCCAATCCTTATTTGATATCTGGCATGTGTTATTTTATGAGACCATGTCTTAAAACAGGTCACTGTAGCTCCTATTCCACTTCTGTATTTAATTTAATATATTTTATTACATTCTATTTCCAAGAGAAATGATTATCCAGTGATATGGGTTTCCACACCCCTTTTTAAAAAGCAGACTTTGGTGTAGTAGAAAAAGGAGTCAGAGAATCATAGAATTGGAGCTTTGTTATGACTGCATCCTGTGGAATCCTAGGATCTGCAGCTGAGAAATCTGAATGTCCTTTCCAAAAGTGCAAATACCAGGATTTTGGAGGATTCCGCTGGAACAACCCCAAATACATCTGCCAAAGGAATCACTATACAAGAAAGACCAAAAACCTTTAGTCTATAATAAATGATGATGTCCCTTTTAATCTGTGCCATTATTCTTTCATAGATTCCATACAGATTCTACAAT